CAATCCTTTCCAGCTCTTTCCAGTTCTCATTCATCTCTTTCATATCCGCTTCTATTTCTCGACGTAATGTGTTCTTTGGCCTTCCTCTTTTCCTCTTCCCTTCAGGATTCCAAGCTAGCGCTTGTCTCGTGGTGCAGTTTAATGATTTCCTCAATGTATGTCCTATCCATTTCCATCGTCTTTTCCTAATCTCCTTTTCTGCTGGAAGCTGGTTGGTTCTTTCCCACAAAATGCTGTTGCCGATGGTATCCGGCCAATGGATGTAGAGTATCATGCGTAGACAGCTATTGATAAATACTTGTACCTTCTTGATGATGGTTGTTGTAGTTCTTCAAGTTTCAGCTCCGTACAGTAGAACTGCCTTGACGTTCGTATCGAAGATTCTGACTTTGATATTGGCTGAAAGTTGTTTTGAGTTTCAAATGTTCTTCAATTGCAGGAATGCGACCTTTGCTTTAAAAATCCTCGCTTTTACGTCTGCATGTGGACCTCATTGTTCATCGATGATGCTTCCCAGGTATGTGAAGGATTCCACATCTTCCAGAGTTTCGCCATCAAGAGTGATTGGATTGCTGTTCTCCGTGTTGTGTTTGAGGACCTTGGTTTTCCCTTTGTGTATGTTGAGGCCTACTGGTACAGAGACTGCTGCTACGCTGGCTGTCTTCATCTGCATTTGTTCGTGTGTATGGGATGGAAGGGCTGGGTCATCTGCGAAGTCCAAATAGTCTAATTGGTTCTGAGCTGTCCACTGTATGCCGTGTTTTCCCTCAGATGTCAAGGTCCTCATAATCCAGTCGACCACTAGAAGAAACAGGAAGGGAGAGAGTAGACAGCCTTGTCTTACTCCGGTCCTTACTTGGAATGCGTCTGTCAGCTGTCCTCCATGCACTACTTTGCACTGTAGTCCGTCGTATGAGTTCCGGATAATATTGACAATCTTCTCAGGAACTCCGTAGTGTCGAAGAAGTTTCCATAACGTTCTCCTATCTACACTGTCAAATGCCTTCTCATAATCAATGAAGTGACGTGATCCACTCAATTGATTGTTCGACGATGATCCATAGTGCCGCAGTTTGGTCTGTGCACGACCGGTCCTTTCGGAATCCAGCTTGTTGATCTCGAAGTTGAGCATCTACTGCGTCTTTCATCCGGTTTAATAACACTCTGTTAAACTTTTCCTGGTATTGACAGTAGCGTAATGCCTTTTGTAGTTTTCACACTTGCTCAGATCCTCTTTCTTTGGAATCTTGATGTTGTGTCCTTCTTTCTAGTCCATCGGCACTTGTTCCTCCTCCCAAATCTTCTTGAATAGAAGATGAAGCATGTTCGTAGTTACTTCGATGTCTGACTTCAGTGCTTCAGCTGGTAATTGTCGGGTCCTGCTGCTTTCCCGCTCTTGATTTGTCTGATGGCCATTCTGATTTCTTCTTTGATACCTTTCCAGTTATCTTCCATAGTAGTTCCTTCTTCCTTCAGTAGATCCTGTAGGGCTTGGAACCTGTTGTTGAGTGCCACCTTGAATTCATTGAGTTTGTCAGTATCTCGAAGGAAGGGTGCATTGAACCAGTTGTCCAGTTCTTCTTTAGCTTCAGTTTCAAATTGGCCACAACCAGGTGGTGATCTGAAGCTATGTCCTCTCCTCTCCTGGTTCTCACATCTTACATTGTCCTTCGGAACTTTTTATTGATGCAAATATGATGTATCTGATTCTCTGTGGTGTTGTCCGGTGAGATCCATGTAGCTTTGTGCATACGTTTGTGTGGAAATATTGTGCCGCCTATGACAAATTTGTTGAATACACACAAATTTACAAATCTTTCCCCGTTTTCGTTCCTCTCTCCCAATCCATGCAGTCCCATGATATCTTCATATCTGGTGTTGTCTATTCCGACTTTGGCGTTTAGATCTGCCATCAGAATAGTGACGTCCTTTCTTGGGCACTTCTCTATGATTGATTGCAGCCTCTCGTAGAATTGATCTTTAATGTCGTCGTTGCTATCATTTGTGGGTGCATAACACTGGATAATGTTCATTGTGATCCCCTCCTTCTTTGTTTTGAATGATGCTTTGATGATTCTGGATCCGTGAGATTCCCATCTTACAAGTGCATTTCGTGCTACTTTGGACAGCATTAGAGCAACTCCCTGAGTGTGTGGGACATTTTCCTCTTCGTGACCGGAGTATAGCAGCATCTCTCCCGTATTTAGCCTTTGTTGTCTAGCTTAGGTCCAATGAGTTTCGCTGATTCCGAGTACTGCCAAGTTGTATCTCCTCATTTCTGTTGCTATTTGACTGGTCTTCCCGGTCTCCCACATTGTCCAGACGTTCCATGTACCTATAAAAATTGTTGCTGTGGTTGTTAGAAGGGGCATCGGCCTCATGGCTTCCGAAGGAACTCGGCTTTCACCATGAGGCGTCATATTTCTTCTAAATGAAGACCTTCTAACTCACAGGGCAGAGTTTAAATGGTTTGAGTTATTTTTTCTGGTAAGCGTTTTTTGGCGACTTAGTTTTCTACGGGATGGGGACGCTAACCCCATGCCCAACCTTCCTCCTTTATCCGGGTTTGGGACCGGCAGTAACTCTAGGAGAGCTACAGGCGGAGTTATATAACGACTTAAGGTGACAATATTATGGTCACGACCTGAAAACGTCCCTCCAAGATACACGGCAGCAGGGATAAGGTTGCTGGTAAAGACTAAATCCGAAATACCTTGATATCCAGTAGGGCTACTAACACGTCGAGTTCACTATCCAAGTTCTATGAAGTCAATAGATGACTTTAAACGTCTTAGCCCTCTTACTGGAAATCAGGAAGTTTCAGGCATGTTGAGGTTCTTACAAATAAAATTGTCTGTGGGTCGTAAGGTCGTAGGTAGTGTAAATAATTCTAATAATATTACCATTTCCACTGTGGATGCGTTTGGTCAACTGTAAACACTATTCAACTCTAAGGAAACTGAATTTGAGTGCTTCAGAATAATCCAGACAGAATCACCTTTTATTTATCAACCCGTAAGTTTCAAAACATTCGATGATCGCAGAACTTCCCATCTGTATTTTTTGTAAACTGTGAAGTCGAAAATCCATGATGAATTATGGAGAGATATATTGTTAGAAATGTACAGGTCAGAGGGAGGATGCTAATGTTTATATAGTCTACTTACAAAATATAGAAGTTCGATTATCAAAAATAATCAAATGTACATGAAATATGCCATATATATAAAACTAACAAAAGATACAGATTTAAGATGTGATAGACTGTGATATGAACAATCAAAGTTCAAACGATTGAGAGTACTCAAATAGATCAATATTTTATGTCTTGACGATAAAGAATACTCATTTTAAACCATCACCAATTTTGAGTTTCAAGGCACACTTGACACAAAAAGATCCAGCAAAGTTTCGACGTACGATGATTCAGGTTCGAAACGAATAGAGTTTCATAGGTCAGCTACTTTCAGGCTCCCGACATACAATCATCAAACATTCTCACCAGTTAGTTTGGTGATAACTATTTGTTCATTACTGAACACCATGGACAAAATAGGGAGCGAACACAAAATTCATTTTATAACTGTACAACAGCACTCCTGGTGGCCAGGATATCCCTGACCTAATAGCAACGTTCGAGAGTTGCTACTTAGTTATTTATGAGCCTCTTGAGGTAAACTATTGGCCTACTTAACCTTTTAGACGGTAAGTCAAGGAGATTTGGGAGTTTTTTCGGCGCTTACATTGCTCGTAAAATGATTTTTAGACTCTGCTCCTAACAAACTATATCCCTAGAACGTGTTCCTCTCACATATACAAGTGTAGCTGCGAATAAATCTCCAAGATAAATTGTTATTTTGATCTTCAACATTGATGCTGAACCCATTCGTTTCACTGGACATACTATGGCTGAAGACGCCTGGTTAATCCTCTGCATCAGATCACCATTGAATACACGATAATACACATCTCGAAAAATAATCAGCCTGGACCACATACTTCTCGGCCAATCGAACATCTTCGGGATATATCTTGGAGCTGCTTTGTTCCTGGCTTTTGATGTGTCTAGGCTAGAGATCCTCAATTAGAAACGTGTTATGGACAATGGCGTTGTCAAGCTCTGAGTGTCTGTGGCATCTTTATAGAGCAATAGGCCTTCCTTTACTTGGGCTCCTTCCTTTTGACTTCATTCTCGGAGCGCTGATGCTACTTGATAACACGAAACTTTCAGTATACTGGTAGCAATTAGGATGTAGTTATGAACTGATTTTGGGATCATACCTGTGGTTGCCTCTGATGTGAAGGTAGTGGATCTGGGACGTTTGGGAAAATCCACCATATCAAAGAGCACAACTTAAAAGCATGCTTGCCTACCTACTTCAAAACTTTTTGGAGTACTTTTAGAAATAATCTTTGAATTTTATCCGAAAAACCAACTGATGCAAATCAGCTTGATCTCACAGATAATTAGTTTAATGACAGACAAAACTTTCATAAAAAGCAATCCGGTTTCGGGACTAAATGGCTGTCGATGCCACAGAAAGAACTTCGCGGAAGTACTCAAAACAAAAGTCTAGTGTTCACCTAAGAATGAAGTATGGAACGGCGCAATAATTCAATACCTTTCATTCAGATTGCTCAAGCCTACGACTACACCACCAGTCTGAGGTTGTCCATTGTCTCTAACACGGAAACTTTTCAGATTATTTCTTTTGCTCTGATTCCTCTGTTTTCCTATTGGCTGTTATAAAATGACATGGTTAGCCTAGAGCACTACATAGGAAAGCAATTAAATGCTATCGGACCAATTTCTTTAAGCCACCATTTGACTCACGAGTGATGTTTTATACATGTAAAATATAGTTATGATAATTTATCTTGTATTTTGTTATTGCTTTATCTTTTATTATTTTAACAGTTTTTTGGGTCATAGTTTTGTGGCGTTGTTTGAATAGTCCGTTTGAACTATTGCGCGGACATATTGCTTTCTTTCCATTCTGATGACGGATGACTATCCTGATATTGGTAGTGGATATTCCCTAAAATTTACATTCTGTTTTTCTCTTCAGAGAGTTCTGAAAACCGGATTATGAAAACTGATGACGAGAGAAATGTTAAAGGCAGTACTGTAGTGTCGGAAAGGATGGTGTCTGTTATTGAAGCCCCAGACTATTTGGCTAGCTTCAATATCGATACGGGTGGCGAAGCAGGTAATTGTTTTGCCATGTGTTCTATGTATAAGTCGTTTTTTGCTAACAAACTAACATGATTTTTTGCCCGTCCACTCCACCCTACTATAATTATATGAGTAGTATAAGTTACGTTGTGTAAAATTATTTATCACTGCTCCTCCTCCCATCCCTATTGAATTCCCTTCAAGTATTTTACTTTACTGAATATTCTAATGACTTATGTGCATAACCTTCTCATGGAAGTGCTGGGAATATCCTTTTTTTTCCTAATCAATAGTCTTATGACGAAACAGCACCGAAATGTAGTTAAATTGCCAAGCTTCTATGGACCACCATATGATCTCCACTTATCTGTCACTTTCCATGATAGTCAGTGAGTATTAGGTACTTTCTAAACAACAATTCCATACAATTAAATAGCCACATTGTACATCCACTATGTTTCGCTTTGGTTATCACACTGGCAACGGTTTGTACGTATCGAGTGTTAATATCGTGTCCTATGGAAATAAGTATCTGCGTTAGTTATAGCTTTAAATGTACTTATTCATAGCCTAGCAACCGACCACTTGTCAATAAACTCCAAATTTTTGTTATATAACCCTTACATCACATGAATGTTGTCGACTATTTGCATTTTGATTCGTTTTCCTTTATGCGTATTATTAGCGGTGGGTATTTTAATCATCTATGCTGTTTTCTAGAAGTCAGTGCGCTTTATGTAATTAGTTAATCTTCAAGTTTTTCTACCAGCTAGTAGATTACTAGTAGACTAAGCATGACTACTATGCTATTACTATTGTCAACCCAAGATATTAAGTGTTTCCTGTGAGTGCCCGTCTTAGATGTCCACTTGTTTGCATTTGTAGTACCTCACCCAATAGAAACATGGTTAGTAGACCATATTCAATTATTGTCCATTTTTCAGGTCATTTCGGAAGCTAAATTTGCTTCTCGTCTCCCGAAAATTATCAGCAGCGGACAGTATACTTTATAAAAACTACTAGGGCTTTTGTGTCGAGTAAGTCCAGTTCACTCGCTACTACAACGCGTTATGTTTAGTGGAGTGGGGTTATTTTGAAGGAAGGATCCCAAACCAATGGTGCACATGGGTTCCAGTATCCTGAAGGAACAAATGGCATATGAACCAATCGTTGGTCACCGGCTACCATGGGACTGCATCTCCTTACGATGCTCCACTGCCTTGTGGATCAGACCTTCAGGTCGAAGGCTCGGGGTGTGGCCCCCTTAGAAAACCACCTGCTTCGGTTTGGGCACACGAGCAGTATCACAGTCCTCGCACAAATCAACTGAGATTTGTGTGGCGCATATGTATTTGGTACCTCCTTGTACCAGTACCTATGTGTTAAAATAAATAAATAAAGAAGGAAGACCAAGAACAATCGGACTAATACGTAGAATCAATCAGGTCATTAACTGTTGGTCTAAGCCGTGTTGTTAAGTGCAGATAACTTGGTTAGAATTTGCGCGATAACCTTCACTGGTGGTTGAAAACGTCAGGCCACATGGCTCGAAATTATTTATTGTGGCCCAAACCGATTCACTCTTTGCCTTCCACTAAATCTAAAGCTTTAACATTACTTCGTACTTTTTATTCCTCCAATTTATCCCTTTTTGAATTATATTTTTCGATGCTTGCCACCACCGATCCTACTGTCATTTTTACCTTTGCAGTTCGTCTTACTGTGCTAACGTGGTAGAGAAACGTGAGACGATGCGCGCTTATCATTCCGTATTGATTATGATCTATTAACAGGGGATCCTGAGAATTTTTAGTTTGATCCAGCTCTAGTCATTAGATAAAATACAAACCAGTTTGTGAGATTGTGGTTCTTCATCACCTGAGAAGGTTAGAGCATGTATTACGTACCCCCACCCACTACATACCTCGACGCGCGGTGTTAACTAGTTTTGGGGTAGTTTGGAAGAACGCTAAGGGTGGCATAACCAATACTTAAAATTAATTTGTGAATTCATTAGCCGTTAGTCTAAGCCACGTTGGTGAATGCAGACTACGTAACCAAGATCAGTAGTTAAATACATTGGTTTATAATGTCTCAGATATATTCACTAGTCTTCCTCTAAATTTTGAGTTCTAGCGTACTTTCGTGGATATCTTTTCTTATCTTGTCAAATCATTTTTCTTAATGTTCATTTTTATTGGTACAATGTTATTTCTACTCATTAACTTTTCATCTTATTAACTTGATCTCACACTGTGCTGTGGCACCTTGGGCTAATGCACATTTGTCCTAGGCTCTACGTCGATTGCATTTGACAACCAATTTTAACAAAATACTCATTATTTCTTCATGTTTGATTGTTCAATAGTTAGTATGCGGGATTAAGTGTAGAGTTTCAGAAGGCTTTTGTTTTGGATCTTCCTTTAAAGATGATACTCGAGGAATCGTACTCCTTAATTCTTAAGTCTCAGACATTCTGTATGACTTATTTAACCCATTCTTTCAAATCTTTTCTACTAGGTCAAAAAAAATTATCATGGTTTAGAGTAAGGACATTGGTACGAATCGAAACTGCCTAATTCCTATTATTCAAAAGAACAAAAATATTTAGGGAAATAAAAGGGAGCAAGTTCGAAGTACTTTCAATAGAAGGTTCACCAGGAAAATAGAGGTATTTTGATTCTTACATCAAACCAACGGAAGGGTTTGTAGTGCTCGTATTAAATAGGGATTAATAAAATAAGTCTTTATAAACAAAATGTGGCCTAAATTCTGTTTGTATTTATTAGCTTTATGCCTGAAATATTTTAGCTTATCATAACCCGATTTTAAATGCTACGACGGTGTACACAAAGATTTCATTACGAACTTAAAATCGGTTAAAATGAACTGGTGAATATATTGCTTTACTGTATAGGCGTTTCCTTACGTGATGTTAATTCGCGTTCTTCTTTAGCTTTTAAATGTTCATGGTATTTTAGTGGAACATCTATGAGGCATTAGTACGAACTATTGACTAACAGCATAGTATCCAGCATACAATCTACTATAGTTGTGCAGCCCAAATCTTAAGTTATTTGTAATTTAGTATGGATACAGGAGTAACATTTTAATTCTCACAATGAACATAAGTCTTGTGTTTCTCTAATTTTCTTGCATATTATTATCCTAAGTCCATGTTTACAGAAATTAGTTCAAACAGAATACACAAAATTACCAACAGTTGTTTAGACTTGGTAAATCGTCATAGTTTAGGGTTAATGGGTACTTTTTGTTCTCTCCAAAGTTAGTTCATATCAATAGGTTTGATCTCTTTTCTATTCAGTCGATATCTGAGGTATTTCTAACTTGATGACATTCACTTCGCTTAGCTGTTTCAGCAAATTAGATTGAGCGATTGTCTTTATACACTTGTAAAAATTTCATTAGTCTGAATATCAACTGACCTCTTACTAACCGCACTCGAGATTTCGGTTTTGGGGACAAAAATTCAGTTTAAATAAATACAGGCAGTCCATACTTATTGTGATTGTATCAAATGATTTAGGGTTGATGTAGGTTAGTAACTATTCGCTGTTTTTGTTCTTTAAGAGTTTTGAAATACTATACGATTTGTTGTAGATATGGTCTATGCGGCAATATGACATTAAGGACCCACAAGCTTACAGGTCAATAACTAGCCGGAGATTCATATGTGTAAGATAGAATACTACTTATCGTTTGTTCTTATAATGAGTAATCTAGTATTTAAATATAATTTTAGTGCTGTTAGATAATTTTCGAAATAACTTATTTGATATACTTTCATTTGTACTGTTTTCTTCGAAGCATTGTCAGCTCATGATGAGACTGCCGAGTCAGATATGCTTACGTTAGGTGGAGTACTAGTTAAATAAGGCAGATCGGTTGACCACTCTGGGATCTTTATAAGTTGTGATTTTTCGGATGTGCCACACATTTTCTCTTACCTCTCCTCCATACAATCCTGACAGTTTAGAGTTAGGTTGGAAGGAAGCTAGCTAGCTATCAATCCATCAAGTCGCTAACTATTGGTTTGAATCATATTGTTGGGTGCCGACTCCATAGTTAAAGTCCACACAACAATATTGACGAACGATCGGAACAATGAAAATGCTTGAATTTTCCATCTTTCAAATGTTGAGCTTTGACATATTCTTGTAATTTTTTTCTTCCATTTCACTCCTTTTTGGATTAGATTTCCTGTTTAGTTTCTTGACTATCATAGATTACAATCACTTTCATCTTTGATATGCTCATTTCTCCTTGTTTCACCAATGTGGCATATTAACTTGCGGAGATGTATGTTCAATAAATGCTACTCTGTATCTAACACTACTGTTTTATTCTACTTTACATGCTTCGTATACTTTTTCAGTGGTCTCATTTCACTTGGAATATTATTTGTTTAGTTACTATTTAATTACTTATTATTCATACTAATTGTTTCTTATGTATTTTTGTCTTTCAGAAGGGTCCAGTATGCCCCATTACATAGTCAATTTAAATAGTAAGCATTCATTTTTTAATAAAATTATTTCACAAGTGTATAACACAACCACTGATATGGACGCTCTAACTACACTACCAATTCATGGTCAAGATCCTGGTATCGGTGAATCATCTGTCTCACTTCCGACTTCTGACATGAATTCACCCGTCATTATGAACGACAACGTTGGTTTGATGTGTGGTGTTAATTCTACAGGGCGAGGACAGCAGTTTTTCACACCAACTATGCGTTCAAAAGCACGTGGTCGCGGACGATTTTCTTCTGTTCCATTGGATGATGTGTAAGCACTTGTTTATTTTTAGAATAAAATTACTTGCTTGGAAGGGAGTATGTTGTCAACGCACCAGTCACAATTAAAAATCCTCTTTCATATTTACCATCAGTTTGCCTCTGTAAATATGGTAAGGTGCATAAAATGTTTATAAACCCGTTAAGGTCTAAAATGGGTACTCATATACTTATAGAAAACAAAATTCATTGTTCTTACTGTGATCGCAAAACTGTTTGCTCACTACTGAAGCCTGGCCAACAGGATTTCGAATGGATTTTATTATTTATGAGCTTCTTACTATCGAAATCAACTGTTTTTACTTTTGTGTTGTAAGCTTGCCCTAGATATAACAGTCGATCATACACCGGAAAAGATTATGGTGATAAATTTCTGAAATGAACTATCAGTTCAATAAACTAGTCTGTAGTGATCTTTCAAATATTATTTGGCTGGACATTAGTATAATCTTTTATTTATTTGTTAGTTTAATTCACACCCAAAATCGCATGCTTCACAGAATATAAAATTTGGGCGCAGTCTGGGATACTGCCCTGGAATCCGGATCGGAGCAGGTAGTTTTCTTATTAGGACACTCCTGGAGCGTTTGACGTAGAACTCTAATCCACAAGATAGTGGATTAGCGTCAAGAAATGCCGTCCCATGGTAGCAGGAGACCAAAAATTGGTTCATACTCCATTTGTTCCTTCAGGGTTCTGGGGTTCATGTACACCAATTTTTTAAAATCAGGGTTTTCTAAGCTCTCGTGATACCTTTCTACCCCCTAATTATAAAGTCGAGAAAGTCGATTACTTACAAAACAAAGCAAGTCATATTGACCAAACATATTGTTTGAAATATTTTTTAGTTGAGGCTCAGTGTTACCAAAAGACTGTATTTTATCAGCGTCTTCACCAAACAGGACTATGTCATCTGTGTATTATAAGTCGATAAGTCGACACGTTCAACTACTTCACACCCTATCCTTAGTTCAGGTGTTGTCGCAGACCAGTTCTGAAGCAACAACTTGCATTTAGAGGGAGAGAAGCGCATCCCAAATATCCTGGCATTGTTGCTCAGTGTTACCAAAAGACTGCATTTTATCAGCGTCTTCACCAAACAGGACTATGTCATCTGCGTATTATAAGTCGATAAGTGGACTTCCTGAGAGGAGATCAATGCCTGAGAATTCAGTCGATGAGAGCGTTATTTTCATCAGTAGATCTATGATGAAGTTAAACAAAAATGGAGAAAGTGGACAACCTTGACGGACACCACTTGAGGTTGCAAAAGCAGATGACAGTTCGCCATAAACTCTGATTCGACTGGTAGTGTTTGAGTGAAGTGCCTTCACAAGGTTTATGTACTTCTAAGGTACTTCTTTCAATGACCGACACAGAACCTCTCAATCTACAGCGTCCAATGCTGCTTTCAAGTCAAGGAAGACTACCACTGTTGGACGCCGATAAGTATGCCTGTGTTCTAGAACCTGTAGAATGGTGAATATGTGGTCGATTCAGCCACGACCAGTTCACGAGTCTTTGTTAGGTGTTCGATAATTATTGACGCTGGTATTTTAGATGCTATATTAGTTAAACTAATCGCTCTGTGGTTATCATAGGTTAATATTTTACCCCTTTTTATATATTGACACAATCAGTGATTAAGATCAATCAGATGGAATTACATCCAGTTCCCGAATTTTAGCTAAAATAGTAGTCAACCTAATCGCTAAAATTGGACCACCATCCTTAAAGACCTCTGGAGTCAATCCATTTGAACCAGCTGCTCTTTCTCGTCTCAGGTTAGTTACATTCAGGCTGTTTGGGAATGGTTGGTAGTTGTGTGGTAGCTGAAGGCCAGCTGAACTGCTCCTTAAAGTGTTCTGTCCATCGTTCTACACATTTGGGCTGACAGTAGATAAGTGTTGTCTTTTTTTACAAGGTCGTTTCACTTACACTTGACTTCTTAATTCCAGTTTCTTTTATTAGCCTGAAAAGCTGTCTTGTGTTACCTACAGCTGCTGCCTTTTCCATCTCTTTCGTTGCCCACCACAGCTCATGGTCGTTCCTTAGATTTTTGGTTAACCTAGATCTGATTTGTTTTCGTTCTTCAGCGTGTTCGAAACCTGGTGGGACGAGTTTACGAGAATCTATGAGTGCAATAGACTTAGTAAAAATCCATTTGTTTCTCGTGACCCTTTGGTTTAAATCACTAATAGATGTCACTACTGTTTCCACAGCTGTTCGTATATCTTTCCAACCAACATCTGGGCCAGCCTCGTTTTCAGAACTACCTAAGTGTGACCTCAGTTGTTCCTGGAACCTACATTTGGTTTTCTCGTCACTCAATTCAATTCTAATAGGTCTTTTTAGTGTGGCTTTTCTGCTTCCAGTGAGGCGCAAGCAAGTGCGTTCTCTTATCAGAGCATGGTCGGAGTCCAAGCAGGTATTCCAGAATGAGCTACAATCTTCAGTCGAGCCTGTCCAACAATGACTGGTGCCAATATGGTCTATTTGAGTCCATCGTTGGTTTAGTACAGGGCTCGCTGTGTTAGACGATGTCTCTCATTATGCTTAAATTTGGTGTTTGTTAAAAATAAACGATTGTCTGAGCACAGTTGCAACAGATGATCACCATTATCTGTTCGCTGAGACAGACTACCAAAATACCCACTTAAATGTCTTTCTGTTTGGTTTAAGCTACCTACTTGGGCATTAAAGTCACCTGCTACGAGTATTATGTCTGAGTGTTTACCTTTTTGAAGTTCAGAGAACTTTCTGTAAAATTCATCTTTCACTTCATCCGGGCTGCAATTAGTGGGAGCGTAGATAGAAACGTGTTTCCCTATCCTTCCGAGTTCTTACTGAGCCGTCTAGCCGAACAGCACATAGGCGACTGTTGACGGGGATTCGTCCTAATAGTGCTTGTTTTGCCCTCACACTTAGCGCTATGCCTACACTCCCCAGTCCACGAGAACTAACCATCTGGTCGCCAGGTAAACGGAGAATGTACCTCATCGGCTCTCCGTTTTCACTAATAATTGCTCTATGATCTCACACGAACTAACTTCCATAGCATCTAGTTTATTTATTCACTGGCAGAGGTTATATTCAATGAAAGAAATGGGTGTTTGTTTCATCCTCATTCTGCACCTAAATAAATGCCAACAAGTTATCTTAAAACTTCATTTTTTCTCAGTTTACAATAAATTCATAAAACAACATAGTAGTTTTACTTTACTTGATTTTTCTATTTTTTAACATTTCCACAGAATGGAAAAGAAAATAAGGACATATGAAGGAAAGGATTGTGTACAAGAGCTAGGAAAGTTGTTAAAATTGTTCCCTCGCTTTAAGAGGGCTTACATTAATCGAGTTTTCACACGGAATATGCTTAGTTATGAAAAGAGTTATGAACAGTTAAAAGAAGAAGATGATCGAGAGCGTGAAAGATGCTCAAAAGTTCGTCTTATTCAAGCACCGAAGGCTGAGTCTAAACGATGTAAGTGTTATTTCTATTTAATGTTTCCTAATTGTAATATTAATTTAAACTTGGCTTAATTTGTTAGTAAATATTGTACCATTCTGATCTCTCCACTTTATTGTCTACCACACAACAACTGATAGACAACATGTGTCTAGGATATTTGTATGAGAAAAGCTTTTTGAACTGACAATGAAAATTTATTTACTAAATATATGAATATTGAATATATCATTTTATCTAAAGTCGCCATTGTAAAGATACGTGTCCAGTTTTCATTCAAGTTGTTCGTATTGTATCTATATACTACTGACACTGGTATGAATGTTTACGTAATTATTACTATTTATGGATTGAACTCCAGTCATGTGTGTAATAAAGGTATTAGATTTCAAATACTAGCAATGATATCTTTCTACGAGGGTTAGTGTTGATAAGCATCTTTTTCTCATTATGATAACTATTTATTCGATCAAAGTAAACTCAAAACTATTGATCAATTTATGAAAAATTCATTGACTTTTTAAAAGGCAAGTTCACTAGTGCATCTGGTGGGAAGAAAACTATATATCTCAAATCAAAGTTAGAATTATTTATAGGTTCCTTATCTCTTTATTCCGCTCCAACGTTTTAGAAACATCTCTTAAGGAAGTATATGGTGATATCGGGCTGCTATCACTAAGAAAATATGTCAAAGTATGATTGTAACATGAGTTAACTTGTATTTTACATGAATTTCTTGCACTTGGCCATCAAAATCTGTGACGTATTGATCTCACAATTCCAAGCATAAAGTATTTTGGAAAGAATTTATATCTCCCTAACCTGACTATTTTTTTATTCACTTTTGTTTATTTTAGCAACAGATTCGAAAACTCACAACCGTCCGGAATTACCTCTTCAGTCACAAGCTTTCTTATGTATGGGACTGCCTTTAGGTCGTTGCCCTCCCCATGTTGCTAACTCACTGTATCGTCGAGTTATTGTTACTCCTGAGGGGACCGTTGAATCTGCTGATGAACATGAACAGAAGTTTTTAGACTCTACGGGTTTATCAAGTTCTGCTCTGGAAACACCATCCTCACACTGTGAACCACCGCGTCCCAAACCATCATTGTTCACTGGGGTAAGTAGGGTTTTGTTTATGATCCACTTATGATCAAACGAAAACAGTTTTACCACTCAGAATTGTCACTCTTATTCAAAAATAGAAAATTTACAAACCCAGTTAATTTGTTTTGTCAGAGCTTTAACTGTTCAACATTTGTCCTTATCCTGAAGTGTATTATCACTTTAAAAGTTATGTGCTGATCCCTGACATTAACATTAGTGGATATAAAAAGTATCTTATCATTATCCATTTCCAAGCTTAGCAGGAATCACTTTGATTTCAAAATCTTCCTCATAACGTTTCTTATTGTAAACCTTATTTCTATTTTTACTCTGAGTTATTTTCGTACTGACCTCGCTTTTTCGCTACTACTTATTATCCTCTGTTTCTGTAAAGTGTATTTTTTATTGCGGTGATTTATTTAAAGTAAAATACGTATACGATATGATATTTATTTCACCCATATTTGATAGTTTAAGCAAAATGATCATAATTAATGAATAGTGAGGTGATGTTTGTCATATTATTTTTCTTAGGGAGTAGAAAAACCTGGAATTCTACACAAAACAATTTTTTGTATTTTTAGCTGAAAATATCATCTGTATCGACTGTCTTGCCTCCGATTCACCAACTAGCTGAATTCAAACAGTCTCCACCTAGACCATCAGAAGAACAGATGTTAACATCGGTAATCTTTCATTTTATCTCTTCATGGTTCATCTATTTCGTGGTTTTGTTAATAAATAGTGTTTTTATTTACATGCTATATCCTTCTTTTTTACGTTGTTACTTTGTTTTCCGTGCCAGGGTGTGAAAGTTATTACCATCATTATTATTGTTATTATTATTACTATTATTACCAGTAGTAGTAGTAATAGCACGTACTACTTCTTGCAAGGTACTTCACTACTGCGAACAATGTTAAGGTAAATCATTCACTTGATTTGCACTCAAAAGAATAGAGACATTAATTCGCTAGTATTTTTTTGTTGTTGTGAAAATGACAAAGTAGAAAACATGGTTAGTTGTTGTTCCGTTGACAAAAATGAAAAATATGCATTTTTATCTTTATTGAATTTTTGAGTTATTTCAGATTGTTAACAATTTGTTAATATCCACTTGTGCATAAGTATTGGTTTTTTTAACTAAATGATTCATTTTTACTATCCCAAGATTATCTGTGTAAATTTCTAGAACCCAGTAAGAGTATGATCTATATATTCAGAATTAATTAGAACTTTAAGGGTTGATAAACTGTATAGTGTGTGTAAAAAATGTTAGTTAACTGTAATGTCCTTTAGTGTAGATTATTTTTCTCGTCACTTAAATTGTTCTTCATTAGTTTATATAAAATCACAATAGATTTAAATACATTCCCATCAAAATGACTAGATGTTAATGTATGTTTGTTCCGATGACAAGTATTAATTTACTTATTTTAGAGTTTTTTATCACTAATTTGGTAGGTTTATTTTATTTAAGAAGGCTATCCCAGTCCAGTTCATTACATAAATAAATCTTGCCTATACATAGGTTAATTAAATCAATGTAATAATAAACTGTAAGCTTCAGAATTAACTTGATATTGCTTCAAAAATTTATCTATAAAATTCATAGAATTTTACACACATGTAGTTTTTTTCTAAAACTCACAACTTCCTAACAATCTTTAAAAAATCGTCTAAAGTGTTCATGAAATAGAAGAATCGTTAACTTTCTGTTCTTATTGAATAGCCTCTGAAAAGGTCTACATAAAATTCGAGTTTTTATTGTTATACATGTGAGGTTGACCTACCTCTGGGAAATTTTAAATTTAATGGACTTATAAAATAAATAGTATAAATAAAATAACAACTCAAAATCCATGTAGGTCCTCAATAACGTTATAAATGCTCGCCTTGTTTATCGCTACCGGTAAACTTGAGTATCGTTGTAAATCATATTATTTCTTATTATTAAGACAGTAACTCTGGACAAACTGTTAATTTCTAATGAACAATCAGCATCCTTTTTCCATAATTTCCTGCTTGTTTTTTCTAACATCCAGATTTAGTTGAGTTCCCTCTCACTTTAGGATCAGGTAAGAAGAATGAAACATGTGTTCTGAGTATGTTGATTTCTATGTGTACTCATACAATCGTTCTGACATTGGTTGCTACAAAATTAGTTACTAGTTTCGTTCCTATCGTTTCTTAAGTTTATGCTTTTCAGCGATGTTACTTTTTGTGTTTTTTTTCTGGATCACAATACAGTATATCTTTTTTATTTTAGTAAATGGTTGATTTTCTTTACTAGGATAACAACGCTGAAACATTGAATTCCGAAGAGACAACTATTCAACAATCAGGCAACAAATTCTTTCGTACAGATCATGTTAGTGAAGCACAAAAAAAGAAACGTGGATACATTAATCGCGAGATGCGAACTGCCACAGTTAGTACACCCGTTAGTCGAACTAGCATTACAGCATCAGCGGTCAGATCTGACTTGGATAGTGATGATTCTAGTAGGAAACCAGGAGATGCTGTTAAATATTTAGCAAAAGTTGGTGTTGTAAGTAATTCAGGTAAGTTAAAATTCTAGTCAATTTTTAGATAGTTTAATCCCTGTATTTCCCTAGTACCGTGTACTTAATAATGTAATTCAGTGTAGTTATGGAGCAAAAGGAATAAAATATCAGTTTATGATTTTGTGGTTGATAAGAAAAGAGTATACTCAACACTGTAACCACTTTTGGGCAACATCACTCTAAGTTTTCAGTCATAGATTCCAATTATCTTACAGAGCTCAACCAGAATGTTTGTACCTGCTCAGTCCGACAGTCATGAACTTCATGGACTGATCCTGTATCTCTATTTTTCACCCTTAATCTTTTTGGAGTCTACCAGCGGTTTTTGTACGCTGCATATATATTACTGAATATAAAATTAAGTATTAGTAAATGAAGGTATCAATTGTTGTATTCATGCGAGTTGTGAATAATGGTCCAATAACATTGGGATGCAAACAAACTGGTTCTGACTATGTATTACGTCCAACCAGTACTTACTTTTTGGAAGAATTAATGCATTAATTCAAGTAAATTAAATGAATGTACAATTTTAATTAATCTAACCAATGGTTTCTTTCATAAACCATCATTTGGATAGTTGTACATTTAAAGTATAATTTATTGTTGAAAAAGAGCAAATCAACAAAAATAGGATATAATAAAGTTTTCCGAACTATTTTCGATATACCTATATATACCTATATATGTGCAATTTGTTTATCAGTATTATATCAGTCAGTCAGTCAGCTGCAACGTAGGACCAGGCACATATATGCATCGGTCCAAGTTGACATACCTCATTGACACAACAAGATGAACACGGAATTCATAGGAGTAGTTAATTCAATGGTGGTAATGTTATAACTTGTGACCGCCGATTAGAGAGCAGTGAATTATCGATCGAATCAATGACGCGTAAAACCCATACGAGCAGCCTAGAGTCTTGATTGGCCTTGCTTCCTGCCTAGCCCAGTCAGTCAAGTTCAGAACACTAATCCGAGCCTCTGCAATATGAATCATATATTTCAAACATGCTCGGTTTATATACCAAACAAGCAGACCACAGCGTACCATAAAATAAAAAATAACATTTGTACAAAATTTGGCCAAAAGTGTCTGTGAATGAGGGAAGTAATGATTAATAGACAGGGAATAATTCAAGAATGGAAAATCATATAGTGACAGTTCATAGGTTAAAATTAAGTTCATGAATCGTTTAGTTAATTGACAATTATACGATAGAATATACTTATAGTATTGGTCCACAAATGGATCCCAAAAATTATCACTCATTATTCTTATCGGGGCATAACAGGTAATATATAAAAGAAAGATTGTATATAGTGATATAGTACAGGAAGAAAGAATTAGTTGGTAAGAAGAGAGATATAAAGCAATTTTAATCTCATAGTTTAAGAGAAGACGGAGAGTGTATACACCTACACCATTGTGATCGATTCTGAGCCATGTCACCCAGAGTCTCCAACCATTGGTTATGATAGTCACACGGACCCCAACCAAGTAGTATGCATCTACCAACATGGGTCAGACCAGAATCTAGTGATTTCAAGGATTGATGTCACGTTTTGGTTTGGTCACCCCTAACTTTCTTCCAACGGTTTCCAGCACTAGTCGGCATTGTGTGTCGTGGTAATCGGTGTTCCACCATGTATTTTAATTCTTTCTGCTCCGACTAATGTTTATATCTGTTATTTTCGAATTAACTATATATTTTACTAAGTGTCCTAGTAATCAAATGACTAAATGATAGATAAAATATTTTTATCTTTCCAGACAAAAAAGATTGTCATAGACTTACAACATCTACATTCAATTATCGAATAAGTATGATTACATAAACTTGAAGGTGAAAAATAATTTTTCGCGAAATTTTGTTGTATATAGACGTGCTAACGTTTGGCGTTTAGTTTTAATCAATTATAGTGTTTATTCGCTTATTATGTTATGTAGTTAATCGTAAACGTCCTACACGTCGTGGAAAATCAACTCGTCAAAAATCAACAACAGAAATCCAGGGCGTCAATAACGAAACAAGCACTTCACCTGCTGTCGAGGTTATTACGGAAGACGATGTAAGTCAACTGACTATTTTTATCATTATCAAAGTAATTATGTGATAAGTACCTGGTTTTGTATTTCGCTCTTCGTCTTTTTTATTTAGGTTTCATATAATTTTGCTGTCTGAAATTTGTTTTAAAGCAAGTTAACGTTATAATGTCATGATACATTAACATGATTATATTTATAGTTAAGGTAAATTCATTATGGTCGCTTCTTTTAAGGGACAAACTAATTTTTCTTTGGTACCACTGAGTGTATGACTTCTAATGATTATTTTAAACTTCAAACACTTGATTGTCAATCATTAGTCTCACCTGCGGGGTTTAGTTTTGTATTAGCTCTTACTGATATTTATGATTATGTTAGTCTTCGACGGAAATCCTAGGCGATGTTTAAGGATGTTTTCTTAATATCTAGCACTGACAAATCATTTAACGGATTTCAATAAACTAAATAGTAGATAAGTAGTTTAAACTGAGGAAAATGCTAGCTAAATATACCTTTTATTCAAGCTGTTTCAGGTAAGAAAAGAGTCTTAGCATCTTGTGCAAAATACTTTCAAAAGATTGTATCATTGTTATTGACCATGCCCTAATATCTCGAGTGTAAATAATTTTCATCGAATTTTAGTTGATTATTTTGCTAAAGATGTCGAATAATGCTTATTGCTTTCTCAGTGATCTCAAATAAGTACATCTGATTAGAAAATCTATGCTTCTAGTAATACATATTCCGTTATTAGTTACATTTAACTAATCAAATAATATCATCTGTTCATAATTTATTTTATACCTTTTTTACCTCATCAATATATAGATTGGATACTTTGTAAAATCACTATGCATTATATGATCTTGTTATTTTAATCTAACTAATGATAAGACATCGACTAAAATGAATTATTATTGTTTTTGTACAAAGATATACGTGAACATCGAAACTATTATAGTGGTCTCCAGGTGCAACTGTGGGTATTTATCTATTGCAGAAATAATATTTTTGGTTTAGTTATTTGATTCTTGAGAGTTTCAAGAGTTTTGATAATTGGAGATAAAATTGCGTTACTTTTCTTATGAGAATTGAAAACTTAAATCTTTTACTACTTCACTGTGAATACAGTGAAATGTTACCTTGTTTTCTATCTTCATTTTTAATGTATAATTTTTAATTCTGTTTATTTCAAGTATTTTGGATATTTTTTGTTTTTCTAATTTTTTTTTATAGGGTCTTGATCTAACTAATGAAGAACGCCGTCACCTTCTATCCTTTTTTAACGATGCCGTATTGGAAGAACTCACGTTGATGCCAGGGTGTTCTCGGAAAACCGCACAGGCTATTATCAATATGCGCCCGTTTAAAAATACGAAAGACTTGGTTTCTCAACTGTCGGGAGTTCGCCATCTTTCCTCCAATTTATATGAATGTTGTAAAGATATTTTAGAAGTTCGTTCTTCAGTTATCCGTTTACTAAATAAGTGTGAGCGTTTAACTGAACAAGTTGCTAGTCATGCGACACGTTTACTTGAAAACACCATAGATTTGCCTGAAAATGCTATCACTGATCAAAATCAATCTGATGGAGTTGATCATGAACATGATGACTTCACTATAAACAAAGCAAATGGTAATCCTGTCCAACTAGTGACTCAGCAGCCCGCTATTTTAAACCCTTTGTAAGTATGACTTAAAGTTTCTGCTGAAATTCGCAAAATATATTATATGATGCCTTTTGTATCTGTTTATCATAACATTTTTTTCTTCGTGTATCCTAGGCGTGAATTAAAACCGTACCAACTTGTTGGTTTGAACTGGCTTCGTCTACTGCACCACGAACAAGTCAATGGGATACTAGCAGATGAAATGGGCCTCGGAAAAACAGTTCAAGCTATTGCTTTCCTAGCTAGCCTTTGGGAAAGTGGAAATCGCGGACCACATCTTATCATTTGTCCAAGTTCAACCCAGGATAATTGGCAGCGTGAATTAAGTCTTTGGTGTCCTCACTTAAAAGTACTTGTTTATCAAGGATCTGCAGAACAGCGAAAAGCAATCCGATTGAAAATTTATGAATCTGAGTCTCAACCGGATTTTAATATACTATTGACTAGGTGAGTATTTATTCTAGCTCTTCAATTTTTTGGACTGCCCTACATTTTAAACATCTGGACGGTGTAAAATCAAATAGTGTTGTCTCAAGTAATGATATCCTACATGAAATCTAGCTTTAGATATTAAAGAAGTATCAGTTTCACTGATTTTGTCAATTAAGTATTTGTACCAGATACGAACATTCCACCAACGTGATTAGATTAAGATTAGTTTTACTGTGATGCTGACTTAACGTCTATGCAAAAAGTACCGTGTTTCATTTCACTAACAAAACTTTATAATATTTTGTATGTGATGCTATTCCATGATATGTATCAATATTTTTGAGCCGTTAAAATTCCCCACCCTCCATTTCAGCTATGCTGTCGGTACAAGTGCCATTGAAGACAGAGCTCTAATGAAACGCATCAACTTTCATTATGGGATCTTCGATGAAGCACACATGCTAAAAAATATGACTTCTCAACGTTATCGAAATTTGATGAATTTTAGAGTTCAACGACGTTTACTTCTTACAGGTACACCTCTTCAAAACAACTTGTTGGAGCTTGTATCTCTGTTATCATTTGTTATGCCAGAAATGTTCCTAAAGAGCACAGATTTGCTGAAAAGGATTTTTCAGATTTACTCAGTAAGCTGTACAACTTTCTCATTTATTCATTTATAACATGCTGTCTTCTGTACAAAAATATACTCTTTAGCAATGTAGATCCATGGTCCCGCACGCGGAACTCGAACCCAGCACCTTCGGTCTCGTGCACGAACGCTTAACGTCCAGACCACTGAGCCTGTATTCAACGGTGTTACTAACTACAATGATCCATGATATTGTGCGACCACTTTCAATTGTTTTCTGTGGGTAACTGCCTCACGCTCGATACGGTTTAACTCCACTGGTCACAGCTTCTCACTGAAACTCCAAGAATTATCTCTCAAAGCTAGCCACTAGTGAACACAATAATTATCTGTATAGGGTTGCGAAAATTGTTGAGTTTTTATTGAGATCATGAACCAATGAATATTACACCACCATTGAAAACCTGGAAGTACTGGACGACTGTTTTGTCCTAGTATGGGACTCCTCAGCACATTGCGCATCCATGATTCTGCTTGTATTTATATTTAGTCTGATCTTCTTCATTGAATAATCTAAGCGGATATGAATTATCTTAGAATAAGGCTCATAGACAGGTTTATATGTACCTGCTCCGTATTTCAATCAACACTCCACCGATATTTTGATTGAACTTGGAGCACCTGAGATTTTAGCACTAATATATTACAGTATTTTCATGGATTGGCTTTGTTCTATTTTTCACCGGAAGGAAAATAATTTAAAATACCAATCTTTTCACCATTTTTTATCTCATTATAATCGTCACATGAGCAATGCGAATGTTTGATTGGTAGTGGTTCATTTTTTTAATGTAGTTACATTATTTGTCTAATCTTTACGCATGTATCCAGAATGTAATGGAAAGTAGAATGTGGCAGTTATATACGTTCATCGGTGCTATGTTTCCTCATTTACTGATACTTGTATTAAAAGATGAAAAACATTATCTTTCAGGTACCTCGCTTATAACGTTTTCGTCTAATTTCTTATCTGATGTGAATTGTATGGTACTTCTTTCCTATTATTTTTGTGTTTAGAAACCCATGAATTCCCGTGAGGAAGATCAGTCAGCCAATAACAGTCCTATTCGAAGCAGTTTTGAAGAAGAGCGCTTAGTTCAAGCTAAAAGTTTACTTCAACCATTTTGTTTACGACGATTAAAATCACAAGTTAGTTTCCAAACATTTGAACTCTTCTACTTACAAATCTGTTGTATGATTTAAATTCGTTCTTCATTTGTTGTTTTAAGTGAATCACACTTTATTTTTCATTATCGTTTATGCGCATGGTGATCCCAAGTGGCACACAGCTTTCCTCCGGTTAAAAATTAATTATTGTATGGTTATAACTAGGAAGTATTATTTATAAAAACAGCTTTATTATCATTCGGAATGAACAAAAATCAGTAATTTCAATGCTTCTATACATACTTAAACTATATTTGAATATATTGTTGCTTGTTTTGTTTCAGGTCCTTGGACAGCTTCCTCCAAAAACCAGTGAAGTAGTTTTAGTAGCAATGACCAAGACCCAAGCTACTCACTACCACGATCTTGTTAAACGACTGCGTTCTCAGCGGTCGTTAAATGACACAAACAGCAATGGTCAAGATCCCTCTCTTCTCTTGAACAATGAATGTGAAGATGGTGATGAAAATGCTGATCCAGATGCTAGTGATCCAAAAGGTGAATGTGCACCAAGAAAAAAAGCCCGTTTAGATAATTATACTACAGGTAATCAGTTAAACTTTGCATATATTCATAATTAGCTTTGTCTCCTTCCATTTATATCTCTTGTTCGCACAGGAATCAATTCTCTCGTTTGATGTTTTTTAATCCTTACAACTACATAATCAACCGTTCTTAGATGTCCTACTTTCGTTCTTTTTTCATAAACTATACGGATGCATTTCGCTGTAGTTGAGCTATCCTTTTTCCATCATGATTTTACAGGGTTCGAATTTCATTTGGCCTATATGAACTACTTGTCAGTAGTAGAATGAGAGATATGTTTAAACATTTCCCTGTTTAGTTCTAGTATATTGTTGAAACTCGATGAATTGCAAAGCACATGCGACAACTATTTAGTGACATAGATCTCTCATTCATAAATCAGCTAATGTTTCCATACTCCGTACCAGTTCCTAAGCGTCTCTATTTCCTTGCGAACACTAATTTACTTTACTAAAATACATGTTTGTCTAATTTGAACAACAGATTGGTTGTATTTAATTCGCTATTTTGCACCAGCCGTTGAGTTATTTCTTTTCATTTTAAATGTCTAGTGAATGGAACGAAATCATTTCCTGTCACTTCTAAATCCATTTCTGAGTCTCTCCAGTCACCGTGCAACATGGTTACGGCGTTGCGCAAGGCAGCAAATCACCAGGCCCTTTTTTCTGGTCTTGCATACACAGATTCAAATCTTCGGGATATTGCAGAATCTTTGCACTTAGATCCAAGTCACTCTAATGCTGATCCAAATCTTATTTATGAAGACCTACTTGCAATGAGTGATCATCAGATACATAAACTTTGCCAGTTTTACGAGGTGAGATTAACCTTGCCTTATGTTACATATTGTAATTATTATAAATTCTGATACCGGTTGTAAATTTCCCCTGATTATGTTCTTCAGCTCTAGACATACGAAATCCACTATCTATGTAAATGCTCATTCCTAGGTGGGAAATTTCAGTGGAAGATTCGTCCACTAATGGTGTCCTGTTTACGATCTTATCTGAATGTAACTGAAATAACTTGTTAGCACATAAAATAAAAGTGACGATCAAAATGTTGTAAATTGTGTAACCTAACAATGCATAGTGACATTTATCTTCTTCACTTTAGCGGCAAATTATTGGTTGAGGCTTTCAACTTTCAGTCATAAAGTTCCAAACTTGAACACCGCTTCACCTACCCTGATTCAAGCAACCAAGCAGTATCATTCTTCTTCACACTTTGATTGTGGCTCATATTCACGTACTTAGTGAATAAGCTAATTTTACCATATGAGTTTTAAGATTTTGGTTATGTATGTTTTTCTAACACCCTTGGTCAGTATTTTAAATGGAATTCACCTTTGTGATTGTAGTTATATAAAAACAAATGTACAGTTATGCTTAATTCATAATTGAAAATTAGTGCGAATAGTGTAGTCATTGATCACTTCATGTTATCTTTAATGTAATCTATCTAATTATTAATTAAATACTGAAGTTGCATATGTAAATTAGTGGATGTGATAAAACATTTTATGAATTCTGTATTTTTTTAGTAAGTAAAAATATGGCGAATAAAATTCTGTTTTTAACAAACTTGCTTTCATATCCATACTTACGTAATTAATATCAGAAAAAATTATGGAAATTCTTAATAATATTTATTCTGAGTTTGAAATCGACTAACAGTAATAGAAATAAATTGATTGTTTGACTGAAAGATAAATAAAATAAGTGTGATTAGTATATGATAAAAATAAATTTCAATTAACGTATATTGACATTTTAATAAATCATTCTTCTGTGTGCTACAGTAAATAAATAACGATCGCACGTATATATTTTCTACGCATCATGTCAAATTGAACTTCTGGTTTGCCAAATAATTCGGCTGTGCTAAAATATTTTATTCTTAATCCCTTCTGATTTCGCGATCAAACGTCATAAAATTTTATGATATCTTTTAAAACTGTCTGATTGACCCCTGAGTTGACTACGTGGTCTGTAGTGAAGCAGTATATAATTTTCTGTTCAATTTGCGACAGCCGAGCTGAATAATGCTTAAGGATACGTTTTACAAATGAACATCGTAGTACAGCTGACCTAATCACCGCTACGAAAGCAAGTAAACTGATAAATGTTCATTAATATTTTATTCGAAAGCTAATGTGAATATATAAAGAAAAAATATTCATAACTTCTTAACACGTAAAAGGTTGGTATAAGTGTTCACTGAGTCCAAAATAATCATCAAATATTTTACAATTTTTTCTACATATATATACATTGAGCTTTTCTTCCACTCAATTATCCGTATAATGTTATCCCTTCCCATTACTTACAATTGTGCTATGTTTTCACGTATTTTCTCCTATCTAAAGTCACTGTAAATGTAGGTGTTTACACGTTATCTGTAAATTTGTTTAATCTTTATTGAGGGTCTAATAAAACATCTATAATACAGTCTTTTGTCTAACAGCAGAATCAAGGACGTGCATTTCATCGTATTTTGAATTCGTCACGTAAATGTGCCTACATCCCAGTGTTGATATTAAGTTGGAATTCGAACCCGGTGCTTTTCTCTCCAAACGACGACCGATTATTTAATGGCTTGCTGAGTTCACAAAACTAATAACCCGTTCAACGGTTATGTTGTTTATATAATTATCAATAAGGGTTCGAAATATCTCGTTATGTTCAGACCTCAACTTCGATTAGTCCAGGCTGGCATATATGAATCATGTACGGATTACCTTGATATAGTCATTTTGTCACAAGTTATTTACAACAGAATAAATTATTGTTTGAGATTTACATTGTATTTCTAACTGTTCGATTTACGACTTATTATCAATACCTATTGAAAATAGTGTTAGAGCCAGTATTTCTAGTCGTCAAAGATAAGATACATATCGAACTTCAACATTGATTTAGTTGCAATAAAGTCCGATTGTCATAATACCAGAAGGACTCAATCAATTCCTTTCGTTTTGTTGTCTTTTTCATTTCGATGTTATTCTCCTAACTTAGTCGTACATAGTTTCCGTCTCGAATGCTTGGCTATCTTTTATGCCATTTTATATGTAGCATGAAGTTGGATGGCGCTAAGAGAGAACTTTTATTGGCCAGACCAAGGCATGATATTCGTTCATAAAGTCTTCAATTATTGATCTCAATTTTTTATTTCGGTGTAGATTCTCCGACTTATCCCCCATTGAAATCATTTATATGTCAGTGAACGCTACTTATGTGCAATAACATTAATGTATCCATTCTCTAACTATTTCCTTAATTTAAACGACTTCATAACTTGATTTATTCTCTTATTTCGCATCCCTGTTAGTAATAACGTCTAATTTCTCTTGACTCTCCTCTATATGTGATTTTGTTAACTACGGCAACTTGAATATGAGCACGTCGATAGGTCAATTTTTGTATGCTTACCTTTTTGATATATCATTTACGCTAATAAAGGTAGTTGTACTGTCTCATCTGTAATATTCGACTTATTTTAGTAATATAAGTCTTGTCATTTCAAGGAATATTATTAAGTAACTAGGGCGTTATTGAAACAGATCACATTGATCAAATGGCTTTAATGGATGTCATGGTTATTGATTTTTAATTTGGCTGTTTTTCTTCCCGCTTCATTTTATATAGGCTTGTCTACTGCTACTGAATAAAAATTAAGTAGTTTATTTGGCTCTGTAACTACATGTGTTAAAAATTCAAACATCTTTTGTCCATAAATATGGTCAATGCAAATTGATATTTATAAATAAATAAATACGATGCCTCTTTTGACATAATAAAATGATATTTTTCTTAATCCTTAGGTTTTGTCACCGTATACTCTCTCCCCTGAATCTATCATTTCTGGATCCGGAAAAATCCAATGGTTAAATGACAATTTGCCTAAATTAGTCTCTGAAGGACATCGTATTTTGATTTTTAGTCAGTTTGTCATCATGTTAGATATATTAGAGGAATTTTTAAGGATAACTAACAGGCGTTATATACGAATGGATGGATCAACTCCTGTCTCGGAACGACAAACATTAATAGATCGTTTCAACAGGTAAATATTTGGTATTAGTTTGTCTACATTTCACTAGCACTGCTTATCTGCATACTAAAGTTTTGTTAAAACATTGTTGTTCAACTCACAATAATCAGATTATCAATTCTAGATTCAAAGTGTTATTGTGTTTGAATGAGTGGTGTTTATTTCTGTTACAGATTTTTTAACCCAAACATCAAGTGCTTATGTGTAAAGAACGAAACATTCTCTTTTGCTGACCAAAATGGAGATTTTTACAGGAAATGGAAATTATTTTTCAATAAACTTACTTCCATACATCTACATTTACAAAATATTAAAAGGGATTAATTATGTCAAAAAGATCTGGTTCGGAGTTAACAGTAATTAGTTTTTAAAAGCATGGGTTTATGTTATGAGAAAGATATTTTAAGACGTAGAAAATAGAGTCATAATAAACATGATTGGGATCTACCTAACTATGAACTGAAGTAATGTTCAACCTAGAGCTATAGCTCAACGTAGTAGAACCTGGCACACATAAGTTGTCACATCACGTTAGCACAGCGCGATGAAATTCTTGATATAGATGTCAGAGTAGTAGAGGTAATAGCTATCGGTAGAATAAAAAGTCTAGTTATAGACTATAGGATTCAAAAAGAAAATATTCGTGGAGTAGAAATGTACAGGATAATTTTTAAACTCCAAATTCAAAGGAAGACAAAGAGTGAATGCATCTGGGTCACTGTTACTGATTCCGAACCATATCATCTGTCATCTCTAACCATTCGTTGTGATAATTTCAATCAGATATCCTATTCAGCTGAATCTAATTAATAATGATTTCATAAACTGCTTCCATATTTTAGTTTGGCCACATATAGCTACCAAATAGATTCTAAATTTACACTAAGAAATATTAGTAACATCTTAACTAGTTACATTTTAAAAAAATCATCGGTTAAAATCCTCACTTTTTTCTAGCTAAATTACTACTTATATTAAGTATCTTAAATCCACTTGATCCCCTGTACATCTTTATACAGCTCATCGATTGAAGTTTTTCTACTATCTACACGTGCTGGTGGCCTAGGTATTAATTTAACTGGTGCGGATACTGTAATTATACATGATATCGATTTTAATCCATATAATGATCGACAAGCAGAGGATCGCTGTCATCGACTTGGTCAGAAAAAGTACGTTATATCATGTTCATACTTTGTTTTTCCTCATTACAAACTATATTTCTCCATATCTTTGTTTTAAAATGTTTGTTAATGTCATTGGTCATTGCACAATACTTTTAGCATCGTTATTGATAACGACAATTGGCTTTGAATTTTAATAATTCAGTACCATATATTTGGTTGCAGTAAAGAATTCTCAGTATAAAATATATCCTATTCCTGTAAGTTGTTCAACTTTAACATATATGCCATTTGTAGCTGTTCCAACCATATATCAAATTATATTCCCGACAAAGTTTATCTGCCATTCATTCTTAACTGTTTTCATCCATTACCACACTACGTAGTGGGTTTTGTGCATAGATTCAAATTCATTCTCTCCATTTCCCGAAGAGTATGTCCACCATTAATGTTTCCGCTTGTATCTTGTATATTATTGAGTATCATCGTAAACTAAGATTTAAGTGCATGATAAGTACGTTTTAAGATTTACATGCATAAGTAATTCGTTAAAAACATGGTAAATAGAAAAGCCTATTGTTATGACCATATATTTTTAAAAGAGGTTCCCTAAAAGTTTAAAACCGGTTGCCGTTACCAAAGTAAATTAAATCAAAAATGCCAAACAAATGATATCTACCTTTTGAAATATTCACCTTAGCCTATTTAATCAATTGGATTCAGTAAAAATACCCAAGACTTAATCATTACATTGCGATTATTAGGTATACTGATCTCAATTGAATGTAAAAAAATTGTATATGTTTCAGAATATGGAGTATGAATGTTAGTTCATGTTGGTTAATTTGTTTAGATTGCTTTAAATTTCACTATTGTATTAGAAATTATAAATGATGGGTAATGATTATGTTATATGCCTTTTTAAATAACTAGTTTCATCTGCAAGGTATATTCTACTTTTTCGTTGAATAATTGAATGATATCATACCATGTTATTTAAATGTTTGCTTTTTATTTTTTTGTGATTTGACGGTATCTAAAAGTCACTTAAAGCTATGTACTAATAAACTATCATGTTTTAATTTTCTAGTCCTGTTCACGTCATACGATTAATCTCTGAAGGTACTTTAGAAGAAGGTATGCTGCGCATTGCATCTGAGAAATTACAAATGGAACAGAATGTAACAGGTTGTGTATCTGAACACAACACAGAACAGACCGAGGAATCTGAAGACACTACTCGTGTTAGTTCCCGGAGCAGAAGGTCAAAGTCAACTAATATTTTACCATGTTCCAGTCTAGATGGTATGACAGAAAATGGAAATGTTTTCAAAGTCCTTGGCAATTGGAACTCAGCTGCCTCGGATCTCAGTTTATCCATTGTGAATCCTATATCATCGAATCGAATTAGTGAACGAGATGTTCGTTCCCTTCTTTCAGATGCTTTAAAATTGTAGCTATAAACATTTTCTACTTCTAAATATTCCACAATCCCTCTAAGACAAAGACCGATTGATATATTTGTTATAGTCACTGTTTTCACTGCACCGTTCCCTTGTTGTATTAGTTCAGTGAATACAGTTTGAATATTTCTGCATTGATATAAACCTTAACATGAACATACATGGAAATATTTGAATTTAGTTTTTGTGAATATATATAGGATGCTGATGATGATGATTTCACGAAAACACGAAAACAGTGAAATTTGTCTTCATTCTTTACCCATGTAAATTGACTCCACTTTTTGGTAAAAAAAATTCTAAATTTTACCTGTGTATCATTTTTTGTTTTTCCAAAATCTATTTTTGCTTAATTTGTTATTTTTTACTTTTGTGTTTTCGTCTATCTTGTTGAATATCATACGCACATTGCATACGCATATTACTAATTACTATATGAATTTAGAATTTCCACAGGTTCGTATTCGTTTCACATTTGCACTAAGTTATGGAATTGTGTCCGTGTACGTATTTATATGTGTGTGTACACTAAGTAGTAGTTGTGATTGGATTATTGATGAGCTACAAATCACCTATAAGGTTTTATCCGTCCATCAGTCATTTTAATAGATTATATATAAACTAGAAATAATAGTAATAATAAAAGTAATTGATATAACGTGACTTAATTTATTTCTGCAATGTCAAGCTATGTCGCGGTTAATAATGATGAGACTCATTGTGAATCACTAAATTTAAATGGAACTATGCATGAAAATAAATTTGTGACAAATGTTCACTTAGGACGTATCACATTCAGTCGACCGATTGCAGATTGGGATTCACTAATGTCTAAACATACTAACTCAAGCATTAAGAAAAGTCATTGTTGTTTAAAATCATTATCATATTGTAGTAAACAACAATGGAGATCATATTCGATATACTTTATCAAGTCTATATTTCCATGCATTGATATATTACTACATTATAATTGGCGATCAGATTTTTTGAAAGATATTTCCGGTGGTTTGACAATAGGTGTTATGAATATTCCACAAGGCAAGTATAATCTTTTATTTATATATCATATGAACGTAAGAGACTTAGTCATATTTCTTTCAGTTCATTCAACTTCAAAGATCTTACTCGTTATATTTAATTGTAATATCGAAATTTGGAGTTACTACTTCATTTCATTTCTAATCATCTGTTTGGTTTACACGTCAAATGTTTTTTAAGGACAGACCCAAAACTCAAATTTTATATTACAACAGTGAAATGGTTACGGCGATTTTGGCCGAATACTGAAAATCACAAATCCAACTTATTGATGATCGTTGTGGGGTAAACGAGCTATTGTTTCTTCTGAAACAAAAATTAAGGGTGACACTTAAAGATGAACCAAATTGCAACACATCAAAATTTTTTCATTGTTAGTCAGTTAGGTGACTTAAAACTTACTAATTCTGAATTCACATATTTTCCAAGGAACTTCTATATCATGCGTCAAGTATTGAAAGCGTAAATAATCGTTTTATTATAACACACATAAACTTATATTTAATCTATTTTTGATAAAAAGTTGGTTACAGGCGAGAAATAATATTGCAATACAATTCATTCATACTTCATTTTATGATTCTCGTTAAGATAAGCCATATGGTGTATATAGTGTGTTACATCGGTAACATTTGTTATTATTAATAGCTTTAATGAGTCAACTATTATTGTTGTTATTTCAGTAAAACAAGTTGTGCTGTATCTTTTAAAGTCATAGTATGCTTCTTTAGTAAACTGGGAATCTAGTAATTTTTCAAAAGAATTCCTAAACAGTTCGAAGGATTCACTTTTAACGTATTAGATGTTAATGGATTCTGCTTTAGTCTGTAGATAATTTTGAACCATAAAAAGATATAAGTAATCTTTCCTTATTCGGTCAGTAGTTTATGTCTGAACACTACGAAGATTTTATATGTGAAGTGAATGGTTGGTCAGATTTCATTTATTATAATAAGTTTTGTTTCAATAATGCTGGTGTATCGTAGTATAAAGGGTATAATCATTTTTTAATGACAGGATAAACTGACTCAGGTTCATGTTCTAATGATTCATATTACATACATTTAGAATCTGTGCACATTAATGGTAAAGACTTCTGTACTTCAGAGTCTGTTATATAGTAAACAAAGTATCTTCTGATTGTAGCTCTTTATAAACCCAGAAATACAGATTTCTAAGCCCTTATCTTGATACTCATGCCTTAGAGCCATTGAGTGTCGTTATTGAGCCACGCCTGGCAATGTGGTGCGAATCTTGTTCCCATAGTATATGGATAAATGCTCCGAAATCGCGTAGACGGCAACCATTAAAATATGCATTCAGTATAGGAATAAATAAAAAGTTTAGGATATAAAAGTATGAAATATAATTTATAACCATACTTTAGTGTGTGAGGTTGATAGCTCACCGTTGTAAGATACAGAAACAAAGTACCCTCAAGTAAGTGTGAAAAAGTAGGTTTTGTATTTATTCCTAGTTCACATAGCAAACTGGATTAATAGAAATCATTTATCTGTACAACAGTATAGAGTTCGAATCTAATCAACGACAGAACGTATTTATCTATGGTAAGAAATAATACGGTGGTTTTGTTTTAATGAAAAGAAAAAAGCGTTTATTGCTAATTTATTTCCATTCATATCATTTTCAGAAATAGTGGACGTTTTTAAAAGTGTTTCAACGGAGTATGAAATAATTTTGAATTGCGGACAGACTTATTTCTCAAAGCATGTTGGTTACTAGTAATAATTTAGCCAAGAGTTTTTAATCTAATCATGTTAGACTGAAGTTAACAGTTTCTAAGTGATTCACTGTATGATTCTCATGACAACAAATTAATATTTTTGGTACACAGTAAATTTTGTACAGTCTAATTCATAAACTAATAACCTGTCTTCGTAATATTTAACGAAAAAATCACGAATATATGAAAAATAAGGTCAAACGAATTAATCAGACTGACAATCAAAATAATCATGAAAATCGATAGAATGAAGACTAGTACAATTACAGTTAAATCTGAGCTACTAACAATTCTAATTTACTGTTATACAATATTAAGAATACAATAAATTTAGTTATATACATTTTACATGGGGAGTGTTGAATAACAATTTAAAAGAACTATTCATATCAATCATCCGATTCGTCTCGCTGATATATATATATATATATATATATATATATATATATATATATATATATATATATATATATATATATGTATATATATGAAGCCAGATACTTTAATTCTGTTTCATTTATGATTGTTCTTCAAGGTGATTACTTACTGCCACAAATCAGTCCCCTTCCTGTATATGTGTGATGAAATTCACATCAACTAATAATCTCAGTTGGATATGATGGTCCAGCGAGATATATTTGTAGTGAACGAACGTCCATGGGTTCGATCTCCGGGGAGGTCACAGGTGCGCACTACTGTGAAGCTTAATATTGGGATGAAACGACTATCCCATGCTCCTTAGTTTTCTATGATACCTCAACTAAGATCAATGTCTGTATGTAAGGTTGTCGGTGTGCACTGCTGATGGTTCTAAAATTCAAACCAAATAACTAATACACTTGGTATTGTTTGGCTTGTATCTTCCCATTGAGGTTTAAGACTGCAATTGATCATTCTGTTATTGACATATGTGTATACTGTGCGTATGCCTCGATATTGCCTTAATTCACAAGCTTTTTGTAGTAAGTAAGTAACTGATATTTAACCGATATGAAAAGAATAAGAACAACCATTTGAGCGGATCAACGTGAATTTGATTTATTTTGTTAAATTTTTACCAGTTGCGTAGATCTTGCTTAGAAGTTAATTTAAACATGTATCAGTATGGTTTAGTAAAGATCTGAACAAAGAAACGAACATGTTATCAAGAAAAATGAATGACCTGTTTGTACCCCTTTCATGTCATAGACAAAAATATTTATAAAGATTTGTAATTTCCAGTTTTTGTTATTCAGGACTTTAAATGGACAACGAATAACGTGTTAGTTTGAAGCAAAATGTACTGACTCGAAGTCCATGTGAACATCAATATTGAAGTGAGGATACTCCAAGCTAGCAACATGCTAGATATATTGGAAAGTATATTTTTTCTACTAGTATTTATTCCATGCTTTCTAATAATAAACATGATGTAGGAGGGGTAGGATAGTGGAATATTGTGTTCTTTTTAAAATTTCAGGTATGGCATATTCATTGCTCGCTGGTTTACCACCTGTTTATGGATTGTATATTGGTTTTTTAAGTCCATTGTTCTACGCAATTTTTGGACGTTGTACACAATTTTCTATGGGTGAGTTTTAGTTGATAATCAATATGAAAGTTTAGTTATATATGTTTTTCTGTTTTTGATCCATATTGCCTTATTTTGTGATTGAGTATATTAATCAGGTTTTCAGATTTTTTATTTCTCATGTCTCTCTAACACCCAAATAAAATACAAGTGAAATTTTGAATTACATTTTTTGACTGTTCTTATTTGTTGAGAGATGGATATCAGGGTCGGTGACTAATCTGAAAACATACATAGGTAATCAACTGTATGTGAAACCATTAAAAATTCACGTTCATTAAATAAAAATGGTGTTTTCTGGGTCTACTTGTAATAGATTAACTCATTTGATGTACTATTAAAAACCACGGAGCACTGAACGACTGTTTCGTTCTTACACGAGGCTTCTCATCAGTGTGTTTCTATAATCTTTAGATTTTTTACTGGTCTGAAGTGAGACATTTGTCGCCGATGAGACTGGTTGATCGTTACCCTCTATCTCAAATTGACTGTAGTAGAAATTTTACTATTGGATGCCAAACCAATGGTTACAGTAGTTAAACGTTCTCCAGGAAACCCGGAGATCCTAGGTCTAAATCCTGTAGTGGTTGTGGGTGCACACTTCTGGGGAGCACCATACTAGGACAAAACAACCGTTGATGTTACCGTGGTGAACGAACACACAAGTAGGGACAAGCAACGCATTTGACACAATATTACGGAATGTTTCCGTCAAGTATGAGAACCATACATGGAATACTCCATTCCATCATTTTTGTTTCAAATTCTGTATTATTCTTCTTCCGATTCACAATCCTTTTCTAATTCCGTTTCTGTTTTCTTTAAGTCAACTTTCATAGCTTTCTGCTGCCAGGTTTCCCACTTCCGACTGGTGTTGCATACTACTTATATCTGTCAACATAAGTAGCGTACACCACAGTACTATAACTTAAATCAGTCAGTGACAGATACAAACTACAACTTAAAACAACCTACACAAAAATCCTTCAACTAAATACGATGACCGACAGTCACTACATGTACCTATTTTCAGATTCATAAATGCTTTAAACAATTAGTAATGATTTCGTTCAGAGAAGAAAATGGCTGATATTGATCGATAATCGTGTTTTTATGTTTTGAGTTTGCTGACATTGAATATATATGAACGGTTGAATTCCAAACTGAGTGCCTTAATGTTGTCGTACTCGTCGTAAGAACGTGATGGTTCTAGGTTTAATCTGATGAGTGGTTGTGGATGTGGCCTGTTAATGAGTTGTCTGTTATGTTGTGACAGTTACCCATAGTTCTTCATGGTTTATCTGAGAAGTGAGGTATTAGAATTTTCTCACATACGACTAACAATGTGTTCTGTGTTGTGTTTGAAGGTAACTGGAAGTAAACCATGGATTTAAGTTTCGTGCAAATTAGAACTCATAAGGTTGGCGTACCTGAACTCTTGAAGGAACTAATGGTCATTATGGGACCTTAGCTTAAGTCACACAACTTTAAAGATGTTAGCAGTGAAATATTTTGATCGCAAGTAAACTGCTGCAGAACATCTTATTCTGTCATTTGTAGAGAAATTCTAAGAGCCCACTTCTCGTGTTCGTACTACTGTTTTTATTTAAGAAGATAATAATGGATTCACAACTGAATCATACATCTTAGAGATTAACAGTTTTATCAAACGGATGCATCCTAGCTACAGATTGTTGGACTTATTTTCATGATTTTCACTTTTTCTCTAGTCGATATTAGTTCATGAAAATCACCCAAAAATAATGAACTAATTCTTTAGATTTTTATAGTGAAAAAATGACTGCAAAATTAATGCACATACTAAAAACTTCATAATATGTAAATTAATTCCATTGCTCATCTGCCAAAACAATTTAGATTTTACGTGTACTTATGTTCGAAATGTAACGTATTTTTCAAGAAAAAATAAAAAACCGAATCTAAGCAACGTCAAATATATATATATATATATATATATATATATATATATATATATATATATATATATATAACGCTAGCCGTCAAACATAAATTTATCTGCTTTTTAAAATCTTATATAACTTTTATCGAGTAATTACATAAGTACTTATGTCACACAAACTGATGGAAATATGTGATTTAAAATGAATAAATGCATTGAGTTAATACATAAATTTTCATTTCAATTTGTAGTAGTTTAGATATTGTTTTGCTTCACACAATAATGTTAACTAGTGAATCACTCGTAACGAGAAGGAATTGAGCAGATGTTTCGTTGTTGTCCTCTGCATTTCAAACCCACGATAACACAGTCATTCGGTTAGTCAGCCAGTCGCAAAGTAGAAACGTATACATATGTACGTCCGTTCAATTTAACATACCCCATCGACAGAGAGAGATAAAATTGTCAGGCTTAATCACAGAATAGTAAAAGTAGTAACAGTACCAGTAGTAATAAAAGAGATTAGGCATCGAAGATACAATGTGAGAAGAAAATATAAATTGGTGATATAAAGAAAAATATTGAGGAATTTATAATCTCAGACTTCGGAAGACGACAAAGAGTGAATGTACCTACGTCATTGCAAACGATTTTGAGCTATTTAATTTAGTCTCCAACCATTAGTTACAACAAAAAAGTGGATCCTAAAAAGGTAGTCTACTCCTATTAACATGGACTGATAGAATGTTTTGACTTGCTCGCCCCTGATTTTCTCCCGCACCAGAAAATATTGCCCGTCGAGGTAAGCTGTGCTTGGGTGTTTACAATACATATCCCAACGAGAAATATTTCAGAATTCTATTGACCCGCACAAGAAACCACCTAGAAACACCAATTATATGAACACCAATGACTAATTTTCAGATACATTTCAGGAGTTCCATCTGGGTGTATTGGCTAGTGCTTAGCTATGCTGAAACTAAGGTAGATATAATCGATTCTGTTGTATAATCGTCCGGTTATATTATGAATTAGATCTAGTTGGAGATGTGGATCATTCGAGAGTGAATCAGTAATATGTCTAAATGTAACTAACTCGCCTTGATTTTTAAAGATCCTGAATTATATCTGTGATAAGGTTGTAGCTGTATATTGTTAAAAAGCTACGAACTAGGACGAAATATCTTTATACAATACTATTTAGCTTTCAATGGTTCAGCAACTGAAGTTAGTCTATAACTAAATTATTTCAAAATTGGATAAATTACTTTACTTACGCCTGTTACTTCTAATGGAGTATAGGCCGCCGACCAGCCCTCCCCAACCCACTCTGTCCTGGGCCTTCTTTTCTAGTTCCATCCAATTCTTGTTCATTTTTCTCATGTCTATCTCCATTTCCTGGCGTAATGTGTTCTTTGGTCTTCCTCTTCGCCTTCGGCCTTCAGGACTCCATGTGAGGGCTTGCCTTGTGACGCAGTTGAGTGCTTTCCTCAATGTGTGTCCTATCCACTTCCAGCGCCTCTTCCTGATTTCTTCCTCCACTGGGATCTGATTTGTTCTCTCCCACAGTAGGTTGTTGCTAATAGCGTCCGGCCAACGGATCCGAAGTATTTTGCGTAGACAACTGTTAATAAACACCTGTATCTTCTGGATGATGGCTTTCGTAGTCCTCCAGGTTTCCTACCCATACAGTAGAACTGTCTTGACATTTGTATTGAAAATTCTGAGCTTGATGTTGGTTGCCAATTGTTTTGAGCTCCAGATGTTCTTCAGTTGTAAATATGCTGCTCTTGCTTTGCCGATCCGTGCCTTCACATCTGCATCAGATCCACCGTGTTCATCGACGATGCTGCCCAAATATGTAAAGGTTTGTACATCTTCCAAATCTTCTCCGTCAATTGTGATTGGATTGTTGCATGCTGTGTTGTATCGGAGAATCTTGCTTTTTCCTTTGTGTATATTGAGACCTATTGCTGCTGAGGCTGCTGCTACACTGGTCGTCTTCTTCTGCACTTGTTGTTGCGTGTGCGATAGAAGAGCCAGATCATCTGCGGAATCTAGATCATCCAATTGCATGCCAGATGTCCACTGTATACCGTCTTCATGATCCAGTCGATCACCAGGAGAAAGAGAAAGAGTGAGAGTAAGCAACCTTGCCTGACACCGGTCTTTACTTCGAACGACTTTGTCAACCGTCCTCCATGAACGATTTTGCAGTTTAATCCATCGTAGGAATTCCGTATGATATTGACTATCTTCTGAGGCACACCGTAGTGTCGAAGAAGCTTCCATGGGTTGTTCTGTTCACGCTGTCGAATGCTTTTTCATAGTCAATGAAGTTGATATAGAGCGATGAATTCCATTCGGTTGATTGTTCCACAATGATCCGTAGAGTTGCGATTTGACCTGTACACGATCTATCCTTACGGAATCGTGCCTGTTGGTCGCGAAGTTGTGCGTCTAAGGAGTCCTTCATCCTGTGTTAACAATACCCTGTTGAAGACTTTTCCTGGTATCGAGAGAAGAGTGATTCCCCTGTAGTTGTCACAGTTGCTGAGATCGCCTTTCTTTGGTATTTTGACTAGAAGTCCTTCTTTCCAGTCTTTTGGTACCTGTTCCTCATCCCAGATCTTTCTGAAGAGAATGTGGAGTATCCTTGCAGTTGCCGCTACGTCTGCTTTCAGTGCCTCTGCTGGAATGCTGTCTAGTCCTGCTGCTTTGCCACTCTTGATTTGTCTGATAGCCATGCTGATCTCTTCAATTGTCGGTGCGCCAACATCAATTGGGAGGTCCGTGAGTGCTGCTTCGATGTTGGGTGGGTTCAGTGGGGCTGGTCGATTCAAGAGTTCTTTGAAGTGTTCTACCCATCTGTTTCGTTGTTCTTCAATGTTGGTGATTATCTTGCCTTCCTTGCTTTTCACTGGTCGTTCTGGTTTACGGTGATTTCCGGAGAGTTTCTTTGTTGTTTCATACAGTTGTCTCATGTTTCCTTCTCTTGCAGCCTTTTCCGCCGTCATTGCCAAATCTTCCACATACTTTACTCTCTTTATCTTCCATTAAAATCCTAATGGTTTAGTAT